CAAACTGCAAGCCTTTTGTTAGGTTGAGGTCTGGCTGCTGGTCTGGGGTTCGCGTACACTAGACTGCACTATCACTCCAAGTTCTGTTAGTGTGTTTATGTGGATGCTCTGAAGTTCTGTTATCCATATGAAATGAGTCTGTTTCAGTCCTGGACACAGTTTGCACTTTATCGTCACACTCTTCTCCTTTTGTGCAATAAAAATAACCTCCATATCGCCGCTCCCCAAAACAGAGACTACAAGCCCATTATCATTAATGGAGCTCCAGTGGAGAGGATGCAGTCCTTCAAGTATCTCCTCAGACCTGACATGGTGCTAGGCAGCACCTGCACCACCTACGACAACTGAGGAAGTTCAGGGTCTCTCCAGTGATCCTCAGGACTTTCTATACAGCGCTGTGGAGAGCATCCTCACACAGAACATCACATCCTGGTTTGGGAGCAGCTGTGTCAAGGATCAAAAAGCTCCTCAGAGAGTGATCCGTATGGCAGAACGCTGCTGCAGGATTGCTCTCCCTCCCCTACAGGACATTTACATCAGGACTGTTCCAGCTTCTGAAATCAGGCAGAAGGTTCTGCACCATCTGAACAAGAACAGAGAGGCTCAAGAGGAGTTTTTATCCTCAGGCCATTGTGTGTTGAATCAGCCCCCCCCACCATGCCAAGAGTTCTGGCAAACAAAAAATGTAACTGCTCTGGATTTTAGCACATTTCAGTTCTACTGACTTTTCTGTTGAATAAATGACAGAAAATTACAATAACATTGCAGACAGTCTCCAGAATTGTCCTGTAATTTCGTATTACATTTTTCTTCTGTTATAGTCTCTTAATTATTGTAACAAATTCTAATAATTTATTGGCAAACAAAAGTAGATTTTTTTGAGTAAAAATTATTTATGGGCAAACAAATATTTATGTTTTAACAATTTATATTTGCGTGTTACTTTAAGCTACACAAAACGCATAGAGACATATTTCCAAAGTATTTTTCTATTTTGTATAAATAAATCCACAGATGCAGAGACTCAGATATTTAATGGCAGATTTACACATTTACAATATCAGTATTGGTCATAAACCGTGTACTGTGTGTATCCCTGAATATTTACTGTTCTCTTACACAGCACAACCCAAACTCATCAGTATTGTGATTTTTAAATCTCTGTGTGGACAGAAGCCTTTTGATGTGCCGTTCAGATAATTAACTTCAATTATTACATATTATACAATTAAACTGCAGACAGACTTTCTTTTTAAATTATTTAGACAGTGTAAAGCTGATGTTGCTGATGTTTAACTCGGCAGTCAGAGAAAGAAGTCACTTATTACCAGCAGCGTAAAAAGAAGCATCGCACCAAACAGCTTTGAAGAAAAGGAGACTGTGAACTTCTCCGTCTGTGAGCAGCTGAAACTGCTCTGAACACAAACTGATCCGGCAGGAAGATGATTTATTAGGATGCAAAGCTTGAAACTGTCCCAGCCGCCATTACGCTGCTGGACAACAGGAATGTGCAAATCGCACTGACTCTGATGATGTGTCTGTAGACGGCTGGATTTTAATCACCTACTTTTTCTATTTATGTGTTTCTTGTTGTCCTGTCACGGCCTCAAAGTTAATGCGCTTTTATGTATAATGAAAAGGCCTCTCAGGGTGACTCTGGTGTAACTTTTATGTTCTTGGGTTTCATGTTTTACATGTTTTACATGTTTTCCATGTCCGGGTAATTAGATCTGGTTGTTTAGGACCTAAAACTTTTCCCCCAGCTGATCAAATCAAATGTATTTGATTTGATCAGCTGGGAGTTTCACTTAATGTCTCCTTAAAATATCAGTTGTTGTGTTAGAAGCTACAGAGTCGCATAAAGAGACGGATTACCTGTCATCAGGGAATAATAATTAGGGTAGGACAAGCTTGGGAAGTCCGGCGTTAAGTGGTCAACCTTCACACCATTTTCCACAAGCTCACGAAATCCGGGTAGATCGTGCAGGTCATCCATGTAGTCGTAGCGGAATCCATCGATCAAGAACACGAGTAGCGGGTGAGCCTCGACACCCAGCTGTCCTGCGTCAAACAGCAGCAGCAGCAGCAGGAAGGTCCGAGGGCAGATCGCAGGAGTCTTTCTGCTGGACATGACATTAACGCATGATCCGCTTCTCTGTCTGAAACTTTCTGATAGAGGGAGTTTTCTCCTGTGCCGCAGCAGCTACCAAAGGTTTCTCCGTGCGCACTCGGTGAGAACCTGCTGGCTTCGCCGATCACCGATCATCGACCTCCGATAACAGCGTTTGTGCAGAGAAAGATTCACAGACGGGACAAATGTGTATTTTATATTAACATGAAAAGAAATACTCCACCATCATGATTTCACCAACATAGCACCTAGTTGATAGGAACTACTTCTCCTTCCGCCTGTCACTATCCAGAGGTAACTATGAGCCTCGACAGTCAGCCTATGAGGGGCTGCACGAGGACATTAAACATGCGCGGTGGTCGCCCATCAGTATCCACCTAAAGATCATCCACAGCCGTACATGTTGTTCCCAAGCACATGCATCAAGAAGCATCTCATTTACGGACTTTAGGCTCAAAATCACATCGCACACATTTAAAACCTTTAACTTTACTCCGCGGCTCATAAGACTTTATAGGACTTATTGTTGAATTTAACTTTGTCTTGTTTTTGCGTGATGAAAAGATGACGTGATTCTGCTCCTCCCAGAGAAGCTTATTCAGTACTTCCCTCCTTCATTCACTTCAGTGGAGCGAGCCACAAATGGCTCACGTGTTGCTATCATTTATATGTTGAGGCATCTGACAATCAATATTATTTTGAAGCATCATTAGCCTCCCCCCTACTCCCCGTCCCCCCAACCTCTTTGTGTCTGTGTGTACGTACACACCCCTAAAAGTGCACCCTGAGGCCGGAGACCAAAAATTCACACAACGGTGAGGACACTTGTCTGGATAACACCGGGTAGTACGGTAACTTGTGATGTAAGAACACGTGCACCCCCACAACGCGCACCAAAATCATCAGTAAAACCAAGAAGCTCCAGACTGGTCACAACTGATAGCGAAGAGTAAGAAGCACAGAACAGCAGTAGCTATGTGAGAAACCTGCACTGCACAGATGTTTAAAGCCCCCACAGAGATCTAGTATAAGTCAACCAGAAGGGCCCACCACACCGCAGAAGCTGAGGGACACCGAACAGACCTGAAACCCAAGCAGAGCCCTGGCCAACACAACCCAGGCGCCACGGCCCACTCCCAAAGGTGCAAGACAGCCATCCCCAAAGGTGCCTACCTGAGTCCCACTCTCCTGGAACAGAGCGACACCCATCCCAACCCAGAGAGCGGGGCAGAGACAGAGTACCAGGCCGGCAGGGAGGACCCGGGCCTGCACCACACAGGACAGCACAATGTATGTAGATTAAGGAAAAGAGAAGGTGGCTCCAGGACCCATCAGCTTTGTGGCCCACTGCTGTCGCAGTGCATCAGCCTGCACTGACAGAAGCACAGCTAGTGGAGGATAGTCCAGCCAAAAAGTAATAAATGCATGAACTCGTTTTTCAGCATCACTCTGAGACAGGATGAACCCTTTGAATTAAAGCTTCAGTTACATGTTGGTGTTTGCTGGTGTCCTGAGGCAAAACAACAACATACTCATGGACTCAAAGATATGATGCAGAGTAATGACACGTATTTGTTTTATCCACACTGAATATCAAAAGAAATGGTGTTTTTAAAATGTATCGAACAGTAAAATCCCTCAAGTGGCAGCTCACACACATGCATCCTTCTGATGCTGCAGGTGCTGCAGTATCAGCTGCAGTCATGGAATGAAAAGACAGCGATGTAACCAAACATTGTTATTTTATTATCATAAAAAGTAACACAATCCCCATTAGGCATTACATACACTACAACAACAGTAACACCAGTACGACACATCAAAGGGACTTTTGGATATTATAGACATTTTTTAAAAATCCCTCCTTTTTATTATTTAAATTGTTTTGACTAGTTATAACAGATGAACATAATTTACAGGTATGACATATCGTCACCATTAGAAACATTGTTATTGTTGAGAATCTCCAGTCTTAAAAACAACCGCTAATGTTGAGGGAAGACATTTCATGGACCGTCACTGTAGAAACAGGGATTGTGCTGGAGAAGACAAAGGGTTGATGTAAGGCCACTGGGCCAGGCGACAATGTGGAGGCTCGGGGTAGGGAGCAGTGCAAACATTAGAGATGAGAGACACGTGTTCCTGCAGGCAGACACAAAGCCCCGTTTCACTGGTGGAACAAAGAAGAACCCCGCTGCTGTGGAACAAGAGCTAAAAACCTTCAAACATGGTCAAAGAGATGCAGAGATTCATTTCTACTATTCAGGCTTCAACCTAGCTGTAATAGTAAGCCTGCAGGGACAGGACTCACTCTGAGTGGTGAAGATGGAGCAGTGATATCGGGACTTATTCTCATCTTTCTATAGTCTTTCTATAGTCTTACAACGTGGGTACAAATGGCACAAACAACCTATGTGTAAAAGTATAATTGGGACTAAAATCCTAGTGTAAAGGTAGTAAGAACAACTACCTACTCTAGGGAAAGAGCAGAGACAAGAATCTTATTACAGAGAGATAAAGGATGTTTCGCAGATTTGTTGAATACTGACAAAAGGTGAGTAGAAACCTTCAGGCATGATTGACTAAGGGCTACAATTCTAGAATACTTAACATTGAACACTCTGTTCCAGAGAACAGAACATCCCTGAGGGATACAACCCAAGAACTGCAGGGGACCCGATGTAGAACAATACAGACCAACGAATGATGTCGGTTACACAACAAGTGAAATGTAGATGTGAAATTGTTTTTTAATGAGAACTTTTCTGAAAGTCAGCACTGGATGGAGTAAAGGAAAAAAACAGTGGCTTCAACACTTTGATATGTAGTGTGATGGTATATTTATGGTGCCCTCTAAAAGTCAATGGGAATCCAACACGAGCAGCTTCAGCTTTCACTCCACACGGTTCATGTGTACGTTGAATATGCCGTATATACAGACGGTAGGTTGAAATATCACTGTACCGTTAACCTACTCTTGGAGAGCACTGAATACATGTGTTTGTAAGACATTCACAGGCTAGAGGCTAATGACAGTGATATTTCAGACTGTCGTTTCGCTTCTATGGAGGTAGTTGGTATAAGTAGAGAGAAACTTACCGGATGGCAACGACGGAAACAGTCAAACGGATGAGAGGAAATCGAAAACACTGCAGAGGTTCTGGAACCCAATTTCAAGCATGATTTGAAACAATTTTCAAATGTAGCTTTTAGTTCACTGTGACGTAGTCAGGTGCTCCACCTGCCCGTCAGGCTGGACTCTCTGTGCTGCTGGCCAGAGATATGCGAGTACAGCAGACGTATGATACTATAATCTTACCATATCGTCTTCATTTTTAATTATAGTCTCACTGACCACAATACATCTTAGCACCAGGAGTGAAGAGCTCAAGGTTTTGATTCAAGCCGTTTGAAGACAAACTGAAGTATTTATAAAGTTGATAAAAATATAAATTGGCGAAAAAGCTGTGCAAAAATACTAAAAATGTCAAATCCCTGTCTTTTTCTCTGTGTGTGTATAAGACTGGTTTGTTTGTTAGATCTTGCATTCTGTGTTGGACTCTAAGTCACTACAAGTGCAACTGCGATGTTGTACACGGCACATTAACATGTAGCACAGACTTTGCTGTTCTCACACAAGGATTTATAACGAGAACTCTCATGCACTTCCTGTCTCTGGAACGTGGGCGGTTATTTTAGTAAACAAGTAAACGTTGACCCCTCATGTCCACTGAATAAAGCTGTTTCACATCAAGGAGTCTAAATTTTGTTGTTTGATTCACTTGTTCAGAGTTTTTTCCCTTTATCGTGTTGTCTTGTCGAGGTAGTGTTTCCAACAACGCACTGCTTATAGTCTCCAGATTGTTGGTGGTTACTGTGACTAGAATGACGAGATCTGTATTACAGGAGGAAATAAATTAGCCGTAATAACGCTTTTAGAGCCTCAACAGAACTCATCTAATAAATACGTCGAGAAACTGAATGAAATGAATCTCAACAAGAAAATCGACTCAGGATACCAAGAAATATTTCATGTTACCTACACACATAATATACTACACAAATGTAGTTGTCAGTGTAGATTATTGTAATGCATAGATTTATAAAGTAAATCTGATCACTGATATTGGGTTTTTTCCTCTATGAGACTGGACAAAGGACTCCATGTCCACTGGACTAATAACTCAGTTTTTGGATGGACTGTAGCCAACGGACATGAAGGGTAACAAAAAGAAACAAAGTCTAAACAGTCTGTAATCATCAATCTCATCTCTGCACCTGCAGCCGTCCATGTTTAACTGCTGCCTGAACAGAAACCGCCAACAGTGTCGGGAGTTCAGATGGGCACCATAGACATAAGAAATGCTTCCATACATTCTACAGAAATGTTCTCGTGTAAAACAAAACTGTCCTCTGTAACCACTTCACATGTGTTGTTATGTTTTGGAGTGATGATAAAGGTTTTTATTGCCATTTTCTGTGGCCCTGCACCTTAAAGGGTGTTGCCATTGGCAAATGTTATTTGAGGGCAAACAGAGACAAGCAATGAGTAAGAATTGGTTAGTGAAACTCTGGGAACCCCTTATAAGTCAGAACTGATGCTTCTCAGTGTGTAATACCAGTTGACACCACAAGAGGGGGTTAAGTCATCTTAAGCAGCTGAATGGGCGTGAAAATAACATAACCTGAGATTACAGATTATCCAAGCATTCAGTCACTCACTCACTCACTCGAACCCACACGTATGAAAAACACAAAAGCTGTAGTGTGTAAACTAGAGGCTAGAGAATGACAGTGTGCAATATCCTGGTGTGTGTAGTTCTGTGTGAACGAGCTGCTTCCTGGGGATCTAACTTCCTGTCTGTGTCCATCCATATGTGTGTTAGCAGGTATAATCACAAAGGACCTGTCACAGCGGCACTGCCGGCCAGTCTGTCAGTGTTCACTGTAACAGTCCATGACCAGTCCACTGGCTCTGTGTTCTGCCCAGCCCTTAGTTCTGAGCCTAGACGCTGGTGATTGACGCGAGGCAGGCACTGGGCTTCTGGAGTTTTTCTGGTTGGGTGCCAGCAGGTTCCGGAATGGCACGGAAGGAGAAAGGAGGACCGTTTCCAGTGGTGATGTTGAGGTGGCCTGGGCTCAAGGCCAGATTCTGCCGTCGGTTACTCTCCACTATTGAAGAGGTGTTAGATGCTAAGCTCTCTCTTGTTCTGCAGAGTGACAGAGACACAATTAGAAATAACACACCCATAAAAGAAGGTTCTTCAAGCTGACATTGGTGTGTGTGTGTCTGTGTGTAAATATATACACACACACAGAGAACAGCCCAGTTTTTCCAGTTATTTGTTGCAGTCGAATGAAGTCCAATGAACAGCTTGAAATGGCACAGAGGTAGTAGTGTAGTGTTGAACTGCCAGAGGGTTAAAACAAAGGTCACCAAAACTGTAAAATAATGTACATTTCAGAATTATACAAAAAGGCCTTTTTCAGTGACAACATGGGTTAACAGTTTAAATCTGTTCTGCACCAACAGAGGCTGATCAGCCTTGAAAGCTGCTGCTGTTACTTCCTACATGCACCTAGTTGGTCAGGGCTTCATCCTACTGCAGGATAAAGACCCAAACAGTCCAAGCTGTGGCAGAACCACCTCAGGAACAAAGAACAAGATGGTGAGCTTGGAAACATGGAGGTCCAGCACAGTCTCCAGACTGAAACCATCGAGCTGGTTTGAACTGGACAGAAGAGTGAAAGCGAAGCAGCTACAAGGTCACATTCATGGGAACTTCTGCTCCAGATATGGGAGAAGATTTGATTTCTGTTGTAGAAAGAAGCCACGGCTGTGTTCAGCTGTTATATCAAAGGGGCGACTTTGATGAGTCAGAATATATTTGGTCGATAAACTGATTCCACGATTTGTTTTTACTCCAATTGCTTATTTGTCCTATGTTTCCATTTCAGAGTGCAATGAGACATTAAACTGTATGATTTTCAATAAAAAACTGGAAAAACCTTTGATTGGTACATATAGTAGATGTTATTGTCATTGTTATTGATCACTGCTAAACTGATATAACACTGTACAGCTACCTCAAATCTCACCTTCTATTGCACATTGTTTTATTACTATTATATTTATTATTATGACCAACTTTTGTCTTTATTTGCATTACTTCATTTTAGAATCACTCAGAATCAGAATACTGTGCTGACAGCTGACACAGTGCAGACAGTAACTGTAACTAAATAATACATTACAGAGTTACATTTACAAAAGTATTGGCCTCTTTCCTATTTTTTGTATGTTTTTCACATTTAAATATTTCTTAAATGTTTCTTAACCTTAAATTTAAACATTAGACAAAGATAACAAGTTAACTCAAAATGCAGTTTCTAAATAAAGGTTTTTATCATTAAGGGGAAAAATTGAATCCTACATTAAAGAGCTCAAATATAAATATCCACAAACACAAAGTATCAAAATGTAAGACTTTGTTGTGCAACCTGAATGATCTGAAGGAGGATTTGTAGAGGCTCCCACAGACTAACTAAACCTTTGTGTTTGCAGTGATCCAGAGGAGGACGGCACGGTTGGCTCCTTCAGCTTGAACTCCTCAGAGGCTGGAAACTTTTTCTTTTTCTAATGGAGGCTAAATCCTTGTGTTCAGCTTCCTCCTATAAAATGTTTGCAATTTTACTTAAAAAAGAATAAAATAAGACTTAAAGAAAAAATTCTGTTTACCCAGCATGAGGAAGCATGCTACGCTCACTAGTGTCCACAGTGATTGATGCTCTACCAGGTGCACACGGACGAGACCATCAACAAGAAGCTCAGTGAGAAAGCAACAATTGTTGTGCAGTTATTAAGAAATGAAAGAAATATTAAATTCCTATAAATCACCTTCTGTCTTGAATTCCATCCTATGAGGTAATTATGGTCAAAAGAAAGTGAAAACAAACTTTATTTTCTAGTAAGAATGTACTGATTCAATCACATGTGTAGCACATGAGCACAGATTTCTTTTCTTTTTAAATCTATTGTCTGTTGCTACGCTGCAGACGGGCCTCCACACCAGTCAGTATTACAGGCTGTGGTCAGCTGACCTGTGGTGCTGCTCCCACGTGCTCTTTGTGGATTTACACAACTAGATGTAAGGAGATGTTTCTGTAGATGGTACAAAGTTGGGATGAAATTTTGGACTTCAGTAAATGAAACTAAGCCTTATCAGCCTCGCACGTGTCCGGTCTTTCTTATCTTTCTCCATCTCTGATTGGCTCTCATTCTTTTGTCTCATTGGTTAATCTAGCAGCTGTACTTTTACTAGCTGCACACAGTTTGTATGCTTGCTGATATTTGTTGATCTGATAAAAACGTTGCATTTAAATTACCTGCAACTTAAAAACCAGAACTCCATCTCTGAGCGCTCCTCGTCTGTCGGGCTAGCTAGATGCTGAAGTATCGTGACCACAGCTTCTGGACAGCCGCACTAATTCCAGTGTTGACAAGACCAAAAGGTAAACCACTGGCCCACTTTGAACTTGTAATAAATGATGCATAAATGACATCGTTTTGTCTCTCTCGTCTCTGTGTGTGCAATAGCCCCACGGTGGCAGATACATCATTTGGATCGACGTTCATGTGTTACTGTTCAGACTCTAATGGTTTTAATGTTTGAAGCATTGACAGGGAAGCACAACTCCCCTCTTCAATCAAAATGTAAGGAGTTCATGTACAAAGCTGTCAGAGAAATAAATACTCAGCTAAAGTACTTAAGTACAATTAAGAAGTAGGTGTACTTCAGTACTTCCTCTCAAATGACTTTTTCAGCAGTTCATACAGGATCACAGTCACGTGTTGACTAATGTCTGGAGATTTGCCTATAAGAGCAGAGATAATGTAACTGTAGCATCAAACCCTCGGTGCAAATGAAGGGAAATCCTATGAAATGCAGTTATCACATCAACCTGTTTTTACTTAATAAAGTCTGAGTGGTCAAAGCTGTCATTGTGAATATCATCAGCACCATAAAACCTGCTTTTAGTATCAAAAAGCTGCTGTCAGGGTTTAGCAAAGAGCTCTGTGACTGTAAGCTCTCAGTTAAATTAGCACGATGATGAATTTACAAAAGCTGAAGAGGGTGAAAAAGTCTTTGCTGACCTAACAGTGCACTGGTTCATATACAAATGTGTAGTCAGTTTACTCCAAGGGCAGCTTGTGAGTGTCAGATATTAGAGTGTGAAGGAGTAACTGTGCAACAAAACAAAGCAGAGGTTTGACACTCTGTACTGTTGTAGTTAAGGAAAATGAAAACAAGTCACTTCACTGTAAAACTGGACTCGCCTGTTAGAAGTGTTTGGTATGTGTCACCGTTACAAACTGTTCCACCTTAACAATCAGAAATCTGAGTGTAACAGCTGACCTCTGTAGAGTGTAGAAGAACGCACACGTTTACTGTCCCACTCATCTGTGAGTGTGCGACCAAAGTTTTATTCTGTGTGAGGCTGCAGGAAGTCGTTCTAGTTTATATCACACAATGATTCATGATCACAAAAATGTGTGTGTCTGTGTGT